TTTTAAAAAGATGTCTTAAGTGAGGGGGCAGCTAGGTGGTGCAGTGGATAGAGCACCAGCTCTGGAGTCAGGAGGACCTGAGTTCAAATCTGGCCTCAGACACATAACAGCTATGTGACTCTGGACAAGTCACTTAACCCCATTTGCCTTGCAAAAAAAAAAAAAACATGATGTCTTAGGATGATAAGTGCTTTACTCCTTTTATTTTTGCTGTGCTACATTCATTTTGTGATGACATTCTGCATTTTTGTGGAGAAAATTTGGAGAGCCTGGAAATTTCTGACCTACTCCACCATCTTCCCAGAATTCCCCCCTCCACCAAAATTCTTAAAGGAAAAGTTAAAAGAGTTGCAGGAGGAAATAGTAAAACTATACTTATGGGTTAGTTCACCTTCACCACTCAGAACTAGCTAAATCTACCAAACAAACAAAAAAGAAGGTAAGTAGATGAACAGAATTTTAGAAGAATGTGTATGATAAACCTCTGAAGAAAATTGAATAGGAATAGAAAGGAACATGCCCTTTTCTCAATGGCACCTACACAAAAATTGATCGTGTGTTAGGTTATCAGAAGCAAACAGCTGGGATTTTAAGACAATAATTGTTTTCATTGCCATAATTATCATTGTAATACCTGATATTTATCTGGATATAGCACCTCCTTTGGATTTACTTCATCAGTTTGCACTGGGAGTGAGAGAATAATTCCCCAGAAGATTTGTTGCTACTACTTACTGAATTTTAGAGGTAACATTGTGGGTAGCTATCCTCCTATTATCATGAGCCCCCACTGTTCTGATCTCCCTTAATATTCATCTGGGACACTAAGTTCTTTAATAAAGGTAATTACTCAAATGACATAAAAGATAGAAAGCTCCAAAGAATTTCCCCCAACATTCTGTTGCACACTTTGACAAACACAAATGGAGGATAGATGTGAGCTTACTAGACAATGCTACTCAGGCTCACATTGTGAAGGCACATAAAATCAAGACAACTGACAATCGTGGTTTTCAGGGCCTCAGTATCACTTCATTCCCCAAAGCATCATCTCCAAGTTTTCTGAGGGGCATGTCATAAGTGATGCAGAAGTCACTCCATTGCTCAGCTGAATTTGCTCCTTGAAAGGCATAGTATCTTAGCTGGATAGGTCAATCTGCTGCTTTGCTGGGCTCTTCACAGGGCACAAAGTCTCTGCTAGACTCTGTAGTAGCAATAGCAGTAGCATTCTTTCATACCTTCAGCCAGTTGGTGTTCACAGACTCTCTTCTTGATTTTTAACAGTGCCCTTTTCCTCAATAATGGTACTGTGGCTTTTCAACCCAGTATTGGAAAAAGCTTTTCTTTTTTGGATCCACCAGAGCCTCAGTGTAGGGTTTCTTTTTTTTTCACATCCAGAAAGGAGGCAGGAATAGCCTCATATGCCCTATTCAATAATCTTTTTAGTTTGAAACAAGAGCTTGTCTCAGCAAGAAGCTCTACCTTTGCTTAAGATGATCAGCCCTGATAATTTCAATCACACTTGCCATACTCCTGTTGGGATCTAGTGAGGACACACAGTTAGGAACAAAAGTGGGAATGCTCTAGACACCACTTCATTGTCTGTGCTGGCCTCTTCAAGTGCATTTGAGCCATTGATACCTGAGACTCTTTCTAAGGTGTGGAATATTACCTTCAGATCTGAAACACTTTTCTTTTATATGTCAATTGCTTTTTGCAACCTTGAGCTTCACTAAATCTCAAAGGGAACAGATCATTACCTGTGTAAAGCATTTTACATACATTATGTGATTTCAAGGTGGATAATATTGTCACCATTTTTCTCATTTCTATTGGAATGTGAAATTGAAAATCAATCAGGTAGCAAACATTTATTAAGAGCTTACAAAGTGCTAAAGAGTGAGGATAAAAATAAAGGTAAGAAACGTCCCTGCCCTCATCAAGCATACATTCTAATGGGGGAGGCAACATGGAAACAACTATAAATGTACATGATAGGTACAAAGTGGATGATAGGTGAATTTAAAAAGGAAGGCATTAATGACAGGAAAGCAAAACACTTCTCAAATATAGTGAGCTTTGAAATTGGTCATGGAGGACACCAGGGAAAGTTAAGAGGTGGACATGAAGAAGGGACAGCATTTTAGGTGGAAAGGAAAGGTATGAAGATGAGAGTTGAAGTGTTGGTTTTGAGGGATGGACTGTCAGTATATATTTTGTTTGAACATATGTGTTTAGATGTTGTCTCCATTTTTAGACTATGAGCTTCTTGAGAATGGGGACTTTCTTTTTTGCCTTCCTTTTCATCCCCAGGGATAAGCACAGTGCTTGTTGCATATAATGTATAATAAATGCTAGTTGACTGACTACACAACCTCACTTCTTACAGTATTCACTGTATTACTTATAGTATTGTAATAATGTAATGCTTACAATATTCACAGAAAAAACCCTTATGTGGATTTCTCTCAAGACTTTCAGAATCTCTCTTCCGTGTTGAGGCCTTCATGCTACTCTGCTTGAAAGTCTCAACTTCCAGCAGATGGCAGCCAATACCCTCTTCATCACCTTGGTTTCTACCAGGGCACCTCTTCTGCTATCCATTGTACCTTTCCTCAGCACTAACTCTTGGAATCTATGATCTTCAACACTTCTGTTAAGCACAATCCTCTACACAAAGCCTTTATTAATCTCCAGCCAGGTGTTAGGCCACTCCCTTCCAAAACTCCTTTGTACTAAATTCATACATGTATTGCATATATATTTGTAGACTATTGTTCTGAAATAACTATCCAATCCCCACTCTCACTCACAGGTCAGTTTCCCAGGGTACCCCACTTCATCCCCTCAAACCTACATATCTAACAAAAGGGTATCCTATCTAATATCATAGTTCATGAGCCCCCATTTGTGTGGTTCCATCCATGACTGTCAGTTGATATTAATTAGCCAGATGAAGTTAGCTGAGAGGAAGGCATATTTATTAAGGTGTTATAGTAAGAAGGCATGGTACAAGACATCCCACGAAAAGTCTTCGATGTACTCTCCTACCAGCTCATGTCCAGTCTAGACTTAGCTCTTCTCAGAAATATGATGATTTAAGCTTAAACATTTGGCAAAAGGGTAATTCACATTTCCTTGTTTCTAGAAGTCCTTTTCTTCCTTTTTCGGGATGTTTCTAATGTTCTCCCGAGGCATGGGTTAGGTCCTTTGCTGGGCTTTTTGTGGAGCCATGAATCTAAGTCCAGTCTGTCCTCAGTTCATGATGCAACCACTGCCCTTTGGTGTTCCAGGGGTGTTGGTAGGATACCAATGAGATTATGAGTACTTACCCACACCCCCAAAATCTAAAGGGTCCTATTATGGTGAAGGCAAGGAGGAAGAAGGCCGAGGATGAGCCAAAGGACTCTCTCCCTCCCTACCAAGCAATCCTTTCTCAGAGGTGACTCTCTTCTCAGCCACAAGATGCTTGCTCAATTTCAAATCTCTCTCAGGCACAAATTAGCCTTTCTACACATTCTTCCCATACAGAGACATTTCCAGTTCACAGAATGACTCATCTGAGACTCTATATACCTTCGGTTCATCTGATTAATTCAAGGCATGTTCCCACCTCATTAAAGTATCAGGACCTAGCATTTTATCATTTACTTTAGATAAGGGAGGGGCAGTGATTTCATTGACCCAATTTACACACACACACACACACACACACACACACACACACACACACAACCTCTCCTTCCAGTTATATTTGTTATCCCTAGAAAATCTACTGGAGTATTAGCCAAAGTCCCTATTTCCTGCAAAGTGGATAATTTTGATTACATTAAATTAAAACATTTTTGAATAAATACACCCAAATGCAACCATGATTAGAAGGAAAGCAGAAAGCTGGGAAAGAATTTTTATAGCCAGTGTTTCAGATAAAGGCCTTTCTCAACTATATAGAGAACTGAGTCAAATTTATAAGAATATAAGTCATTCCCCAATGGTCAAAGGATATGAATAGGCAATTTTCTGAAGAAGAAATTAAATCTATAGTCATGTAAAAAATGCTTTAAATCACTTTTGATTAGAGAAATGCAAATTAAAACAACTCCAAGGTACCACCTCACACCTATCAGATTGGCTATTCAGTAATTAACACTCTTCCATACTTCCATGTCCATGGTGAAACAAGTTAACTAGTCAATTCTATGTTGTTGTTGTTGTTGTTGTGTGTGTGTGTGTGTGTGTGTGTTTTACAAAGCTTGTCACTGATTGTCTTGTTGTTTGCAAGAAGGCCTTCTACAAACCCAAAACAATAATGAAAAAAAGTGAAAAATGCAAAGAGAAATAGAAAAGTCACAACTGATACACAGTGAAGTGAGCAAAACTGGGAGAACAATTTATGCAATGGCCATACTAATTATGTAAAGAGGGAAAAAACTGAAGACCTTCATGGCTCTCATGGATGCAGTGACTAATGGAATGAGGGGAATGCTACCCACCTCTTGGCAGAGAGAAGAGGGGCTAGAGGTGCAGGAGACTTACATTGACAGTCATAACCATGTGTTGTTGACTAATTGTTTTGGGCTGACTCTTCTAACAGGTTGGGGTTTCTATTGGGTTAGGGAAGTCAGTGAGAGGTGAAAAGATAGTACAGAAAATAGAAGAAAAGAAAGAAAAGACCATTGATTAGACATTTTAAAATGAAGAAACAGAAGGAAGTTCAGTAAAGTACCCCAACAAATATGGCAGTATTGTTATGTCATGCTATGTATAAACTTTGTGAAAAAGAAATACATGATAGAAGTTTAGTTTCTTTAATTTCTTTTTTATTCTGAACTTAAGAACAAAAATGAGCATCACTACACACTGCGAAGCATAGAGGAATGATTATGAAAGTGGGAATCTTTGTTTTACGCTGTCTGCTTTAAAAGGGGGGGCATGTAATTCCTAACTAGCTTTAGCTCTGAGCCAGGGCTCCAACCCAGAGCTCCCAAGCATTTGATCCCCTACTGGAGGTAGACCTCATGACTACTGAAGTAGTATTTCTCCAGGCAGTGAATACTCAAGAAGTAGGCAGGGGGTCCCCTCACTCTACTCACTTCCACACCTTGAGGTAAAGTCAGCACACACTGTCTGAGACAGATAATTCTGGGCCCCAAAGTCCTAATTTCTTTAAGGACTCCAAGTCCCAAGTTAACAGAGCATTCTGGCCCTAATGAGGCATCAGATACCTAGAAGTCCTTTCCCTAGACCTAAGTTTCTCTTCCCCTCTACTACTTGTAGATCTCAAAAAGGGGCTTCTGAACAGAAATAAAACCAAGGGAGAGGGAGATGGGGTTAGGGATGGGAATGGGATTAAGGAGAGGGATTTTCTTAGGGTAAGGGGTAATGTTAGGGACATAGATAGGTTTAACATGCAACCAATGAGGATATTTTTCTCTCCAGCCTCAGTTTTCCCTGTTGTAAAACCAAGGACAGAGAAGTGGTGGTCTCTAAGGTCTGCTCTTTTCCTAAATTTGTTGACCCTGCAGATGCGCTCAAAGAATCCCTGGGGGTAGGCAGGACAGGACAAGAGGAAAGGAGGGCAAAAGGAAAGCCATAGTACTGTCAGGCAAGAAAAGAGCCAGAGAAAGGACACCAGAGTGCAGGGTTCATCTACTTAGTGGAGTATTCACAGAACTCATGGGCCAGAATTTCCCCTGATGCTAGGGGGACTGGGAGCCTGTATCACTTAAAGGAGACCTACAGGGAGTAGCTGGGGACTCCATGGACTCATCACTATAGGAGGTGCCAGGATCTTCCAGGAAAGCAAGCTATGGCAGAAGGGTCTCCTCTTCACAAATCTAGGAGGGAGAAGAGAGTGGGAGTATTAAGCTTACTCTGGGCCTACCTATGTTGCTCTAGCCAAGTCTGAGCCCAAATCATGACTTTCCTCACAGAGGCTGGTGCTCTGCTCCTCCCTAAGCATCTTTGGGAGACAGGCTCATGGGTCATAACTTTGGGAGACAGAAATGGATGGGCCAGAGACATAGACCCAAAGACACTCTGAGCTAGATAGGCCATTCAAACCAAAGTATGCCACCTTCACATTTGGAGGATCGTGGATTTAAGGCAAAAAGAGACTTTGAAAGCAATTGGGTCTAACTCCCTCATTTACAAATGCAGAACTGGATGTACAGGGAGGTGACATGACTTGATTAGAGTGACACAGCTAGTAAGTGTCTGAGGTGGGATTCAAACTTGGTTCTTCCAACCTCCAAGTCCAGTACCTTCTACACCTAGTCATGAGGACTTTGAGGGAGCAAGTAAGGCTCAGAGAGGAAGACACATTCCCTGTGGTGGTTTGTGGCAGAGATGATGCCCAAGTCCAGATCTCCTGACTCCTGGTCTCACAGGCCCTTCCTCTCAGATGCAGTGCTGCGTGGTCCCCTCAGCCTCTCCTCCCTTATACTAAGTACCTATGTCCATGGATGGGGCTGGTTTAGGTGAGAGATGCCCTGGGGTTGCCTAGAATGTCCTTTTGCTCTGCTCATTGTGCAAGCCCAATGCAAATGCTATCTACTCCATAAAGTCTTCACTCCAATGAAGAATGCCTCTTCTTCTTAGAGTGTGAATCCTTTGAGAGAAAAGTCAGCCTCCCATTTATACCTCTCTCTCCAGCTCTCAGCATAGCACTCAGAATCCAATAAATGCCTTATAAGTACCCTTCCTTCCTTCCTTTTTCTCTTTATCCTGATCCCTCTCCCTTTTCCACTCTCCCCCCTCCTCTTCCTCCCTCTCCCTCTCTACTTTTTCCCTCCCTCCCTCTCCTCCTCTCCCTCCCTTCTCTTTCTCTCTCTCTCTCTCTCTCCAATGTACTCTTCAGATAAAGGGGCTCCCACCCCTGTTGCCCCCTCACCATTGGGTGAACATGGTTTCCACAACCCGTTCATGTTGTAGTTGTGGGTCAGGGCACACCAGGTCTTGCCCAGCACATACCCATCCATCGTGCAGTCATGGTACAGCTTCTTCCCGAAGAGGAATGGAAACTTACATGCTGGAGGGTCTGTGAAGGCCCAAGGGGTTAGCATGGAGTGAACATATGCTCAGGAGAGCTCTATGGACCAAAGGCTCCTTTTGGCAGGGAATAATGAGGCCACCTAGTCCAGCATGCATATTTCCCCTGTCCAAGTGATCAGGCAGCCTTTGCTTCTAGACCTCTAGTGATGTGGCTGCCTGACTCACTTGGTGGTTCATTTAGTTTCTAATTTTTAGGATCTGCCTCTTTGCATTTCTACTCATGCCCTTCTTCCTCATTGTCCCTATTTTTGCCCTCCAGGGCCAAGCAGAACAAGTATAATCCCTCTTCTACCCTATAGCCTTTTAAATACTTGAAGACAAATATCCTTCCAAAATCTCTTCTCTGGGCTAACTATTCCTAGTTCCTCATATGATATGGACTCAAGACCCTCTGCAGCTTGTCAATGATATTTCTAAAGGTTTTTTGTCGGTTGGGGGATGGATTAGAACCGAATGTAATACCAAAGACATAGCCTGACCAGGGCAGAGGACAGAGGGACTGTCACCCTCCTCGTTTCTGAGCAACTCTCTTTTCCAGCAGCTTAATATGGAATTGGCTTTCTCTGGGACATCAGCATCTCACACTGGAAACATGTATTGAGCTTTCAGTCCACTAAGATCCCCAGATTGTTTTCTCAAGGACTATTCTGTAGGCACACATTCCCCAAATACACATGTGCAGTTGTTTTTTTAAACCCAAGTAGAACACATTCAGTTGCAGAATCCTCTCAGTTCCAGATAAATGATGGCTCTGTTCTGGAAATACATGGTAGGGAAAATCGGGGACAGAGCGGCACAGGACACTTGGATGATGCCAGAGTGACTCACCTGCACTAATACAATAGCGCCACTTCCCATTGAAGATGGATTCCACTGAGCACCAGGCATAGTCGCTATTCACTGTTGTGCAGTGGTCATACCTCACATTCTCATAGATGAATGGAAAGGCATATGGCTTGAGGATCGTTTCTGGAGAAAGGATCAGTGCTGGTTGGAATGGGAGAAGGTGAGGGAGGGGCACAAGCCAGAAGGCAAAGGCATCTGGTTCTCAATTATCCACTACCCCAAAGTTCCTCAGCCCCCTTTGTTTTCATACCCCACTTGCAGACCATCATGTTAGCCAAGCCTTGAATGTGCACACACTCAGAAAGGGTCCAGGTGTGACAGGATCTGAGAGCTTTACTGAAGTGGAGGGAGTATGTAAGACTTGGTGGGGACAAAGCCTCACTATCTCCTCTTCTAGATGAAGAAAACACAGCCCAGAGAGAAAGGAAGGAACTTAGAACCAGAGAAAAATCTCATGTATTGGGAGTTGTTGAGTCAGGAGACCCCAGTGTGAAGCTAATGTCTGATATTTACCAGGTGTGACTATGGGCAAATCATTTAACTTTGTAGAAACAGGGTCGCAACAAAAAGTCCTGTTTAAACCTTAGACCATTCCACAAGGGGAATATCAGAGCTGGAAGAAGCCTTAGAGAATCTAATGCTATCCAGGATTTCCTGACTCCCAGTTTTGTGCCTTCTTTCCATACACACATAACCCTTCCATTCCTCCTTATTTTAGCCCCAGCCTCTTCCTGTGCAGCTTGAGAACAGCTGGATTGCTTTGAATTCTCTTTAGAACACCCTCCGGAGTGTCCAGGGAGGCCAGAGAATTGGGCTAACACCCTCATACAGACATTCAGCATAACACCCCACAGCTCTACAAAGGGCAAATCAGGCTGATCTTGGGGAGGAGCCACTCCCCCCACCCCCCTCCAAGTTCATCCTAATTTGGAAGGGAGCATAGTAGAGCTTAATGAATACTAAATTTGATGAAAGAACATCTGGATTCAAATCCTAGGTCTGCCTCTTGTTATATGTATAACCTTGAACACATCACATCACTTCTATAGATCTCAGCATTCTCATCTATAAAATAAGATTAGACTTGAAGGTCTCCACCAGCTGAAAATATTGTGAATTTTTCTCTTTGCTCAAATAACTGATCCTACCCAGTTCTACTCACTCCCATACAGGGAGGTGTTGCAGTCTTTTTCAGTCCCCAAGCTTCAAGTCCACAGTTTTCTCCTTACCTGGCTTGGGTCGAATATTTCTATATCTGGTCAAGCCTGAAATGCAACAAGGAAGTGGATAAATCTATTTCTCACAGCATTTCCATAACAATCCATATACCCACTCCCATCTCCCAGCTAACCCCAAAGTCTCCCTCACCTGCATTGGCCCCATGGAGGCAGAAGGGTAGGCACACCCAGCCCACCAGCAACCCTCTCTCCAGAATCATCTCAGTCTGAAACCCTATGGAAGCCAGTCTTCTGTCCTAATCCAGCTCTGAGCTTTATCCCCACAAGCCTTTCCAGTCCCTCCCCCAATCCTCCCACTCCTTCTCTCCTCCCCATTAGCGTGCCTATCCGTCCCTGTGCCCAAATAACCAGGGGAACCAGTGAAAATTGCCTCAGAGTTAAGGTCAGGTGACCTGGGCACAGTACTGCAACTATGTGACATTGTTCAAATCTCAGCTTTCAGTCTAAGTTTCCCCATCTGCAAAAAGGGATGGGACTAGATTATCTTTTCCCAGCTCCCTCAATTTGGGTGAGCACCTTCTCCTTTGAGAACCTCACTTTCCTCAGTAGTCAAGTGAAAGGAGTAAACTGATATCTCATTTCTTCCTATAAAATATAAGACTTCTAAGGGCAAGAAATATTTCATCTTTGTCTTTCTATTCCCAAGCACCGAACACAGTACCTGATCCATGGTATTTGCTTACCACGTGCTTCTTTTTGGATGGATTGGGGACCTCATCTGTGAGGTCCTTTCCAACTCGAAATCTCAAGAAATGTAAAGCCTTTGAAATCCTGGCCCTTGAAATCCACTCCATATGGAGACATGTGGTAGTTCTATTCTCACCCTTATCATACTTCAAGGAAGTAGAAGATAGAAGAATCAAGCATAGAACAGCCAGGGAGGGCCTTTCTAGGAGGGGGAGAGAGAGGAGACAGGCAAACCTTCCATAGTGGGGCTGGCCAGGTCTTCTGAGTGGGGACCTGGGCTGGAACCTGGCTCTTCTGGACATAATGTTTACAGGAAGAAGGAAATGAGGATGAAGTTGGGCCTGAGAAGATATATTTTGTCAATCAGTCCATTAAAAAGTCATTTATTAATCTCCTACTATGTGCAAGGCATTGGAACTATAAGCATTGGGGATATTAAGAAAGACAAAGGCAATTCCTTGCCTTGAGGATTGCACAATCTAATAGAGGTAAATAAAGAAGCTACTTATAGGATAAATAGGAAATAAGAGACAGAAGGCACTGGAATTCAGGGGTATTGGGAAAGGCCTTCTGTAGAATTTGGGATTTTATCTGGCGCTTGAAAGAAGCCAGGAAAAGCAGTAGGCACAGATAAGAAAGAAGAGCATTCCATGCATGAAGGGCAGCCAGTGAAAATGTCTGGAATTGGGAAATGTAACAGCCAGTAGGACAGGGTCACTGGACCATTCTGCACATGTCAGGAAATAAGGTATGAGAAGACTGAAAAGGTAGAAAGGAACTGATGGAGATGGGATCTGAATCCCTAAAAGGAATGTACCATGTCTTTGGGATCTGGACCCCAAAAAGGAAAAGCTCTGGACTTTCTCACATGGCCAAATCTCTGGCATTCCCCTGAAGCTAAAATCCTATCAACTGGCCTTTCATTATTGCCTATGCCTAATCTCCCAATTCTCTAGCCCTCTATTGTCTTATCTCCCTGTGGCACTGCCCCCCCACTTCCCACCCTTAATCCTGTTTAGGCTCTGTTCTCCCTTGGCCACTTGGTTCAGGTCCCTGGAGTTCACCTCAGACTACTTAGCCACTCTTAGATCCCTCCCACAGTCTTTCTGTACATAAGGTCCATTTGACCTCCATTAAGGTGCTGAAATTCTTATAATCTGACCAATGCTCAGATTCCCTAAGAGTCTGGCCCAGGCCTCAGATTCTTAAGATCTGGCCCACTCGCATTAGTGATACAAATGCTTAGATTCCTTAAGAGTCTGTCCACTATGGTGGATTCTTTAAATCTCACCTACCCCCAATCGATGTTCTAATAAACCTTGTCTTTGACTGAAAGAAGGCTTCGGTCAAATTAATTTGGGCAAGATGCACGTATTGTGATTTTGGGGTCCAAAACCTCTAAACCTCAACAGAACTAGGTTATGAAGGGCTTTGAATGTGAAACAGGATTTTATTTTTGATCATAGTGATGATAGAGAGCCAATGAAGTTTATTGAGTTGAGAGGCATGAGATGATTAGATCTGTGTATTAGGAAAATCACTTTTGTGACTTAATGGAGCTTGGACTGGAGAGAGTTGAAGCAGGCAGACCCACCAGGAGTCCATTGCACAGTCCAGACATGAGATGATGAGGACCTATATCAAAATGGTGGCAGTTTCAGAGCAGAGAAGGCAAAGTACTTGAGAAATATTACAAAGGTGAAATTGACAAACCTTGGCAACAGATCAGATAGTGAGGAATTCAGGCTGACTCTGAGGTTGCAAGCTGAAGAATCAAGAGAATGATGTTGTACTTTACACTTATAGGGAAGTAGAGGGGAAGAGTTTGGTGGGGGGAGATAATGAGATCCATTTTGGACACATTATGTTTAAGATGTCTATGGGACAACCAGTTCAAGATATCTGAAAGAGAGTTGGATATGGGAGATTGAAGACCAGCAGAAATGTTAAGACTGAATAAGTAAATTTGAGAATTGTCTACATAGAACTGATAATTAAATCCAGTGAAGCCGATAAGATTACCAAATGAAGTAGTGTAGAGGAAGAAGAGTAGAGTTCCCAAGATGGAATCCTAAGGGACACCTATGGGCTTTAGGGTGTCATCTGGATAAGGATGTAGGAGAGCCAGGAGAGAGCAGAATCACAAAGACCTAGAGAGAAGAGAGTGTAAAGGACAAAAGAATGATCAGCAGTGCCAAAAGCTGCAGAAAGGTCACGGAGAATGGAAATCGTTGGATTTGGCAACTAAGAAATCATTGGCAATTTTGGATAAAACAGTTTTGGTGGAATAATAAGGTTGGAGAAGCTCATTAAGTCAACTATCCCAGTCTTTACTTCTTCCTATGCCAGTGAAGCCCATGTCTCCCTTAAAATTGTTAACATGATTTAGAATTGCTTATTAGGTCCTGGAGCTTCTAATTGAGTTTTGATAAGCAAACCAGATTCTGGCTGTATTTCTATCAGATCTCTAAATGTTGTTGGGGTTTCAACAAAGCATCTCTAAATTGTCTCCCTATGTGGTTATTGTTGGTTCTTCCTCAGTAGAGCATTCTTTTCTCCTTATGCCCAAGTCTCCTTATCCTGCTGGGCCATGATCTCTTTTGTAAAGTTAGGGGCACTATTTCCTGTTGCCCTGATAGATATCTGTCCTTGCAACTTCCTGAAGACTTCCTCTTTTTGTTCCCTGTATTGGTTCAGGATGCCCAAGAGACCCCTGATGGTAGTCTATATATCCTATCTAACATACCTGATTCTTTGTGGCCAACTTCATCTTCAGATGTAGGGTTGTTAAAATCCACTGTCCCCATCATCGTTAAGACTAAGGGAGCCCACCCCCACATCTATACTTCAATATTTTTTGTCTGGGGAGGTTATTACAGGCATTATACCCATTATTCTGATGGATCAGGGTATTATTATTCCATGTAAATCCCTTTGTAACACACCTATCCTTCCTGTTAAGAAACCCAAGCCAGGCCCTGATGGTGAACCTGTTTATCACTTTGTACAAGTTTGTTGTTGTTTAGTCGTGACCCCATGACCTCTATGGCCCCATTTGAGGTTTTAATGGCAAGAATATTGGAATGGTTTGCCATTTCCTTCTCCATGTCATTTTACAGATGAGAAACTGAGGCAAACAGGGTTAAGTGACTTACTCAGGGTCACACAGCCAATAAGTATCTGAGGCCAGATTTACTCACAAAGATGAGTTTTCCTGACTCAAGGCCCAGCACTCTATCCGCTGCACCAAGACTTACTTGATTTTAATGTTTATGTTATATCCAGACACCCAACAGTTTCCAGTCCTGAGACCATAATCTCCTCAATTCCCTGTGAAGCTACCTGTTCTACTGTGATAGATCTTTGCTCAATTTTTTTATTTTTAGCAATCCCATTCACCCCAACTGTCAGTATCTGTTTGTCTTAACCTGGAAGAACACACAATGGATGTGAATTAATCTGCCTCCAGGGTATATAGGAATACCCACACTATTCTCAGATTTTACTGCAGGATTTAGCTTCTATAACTTTTAATGGCTCCTCTCTGGTTCAGTACCTTAATGGTCTCCTATTGTGTGATTTGGTTTTAGAAGCCCCACTTCTGGTGCAGTGCCCACATGAGGCTGAGGCTCTCTTATTGACACATCACACTCAAGTTTTCTTTGATCAAAGACTTGCTAAATTTGAAGTTATGTCATTGGGCAAAGAAATTGTGACTCCAAAGTGTTGTTTCTCAACCAGGCCATGTTACTTCCTGATATATGTATCTCAAGAGAGCCTCTTTATAATTGTTCTTTTATAGTAGCTATGGAAAGAGACCCTTCAATGACCTTTCTGACACCCCCTTTCAGAACCCTGACTACATCCTATATACTGATGGTTCCTCTTTAATGAGAGATGGCATCTGGTACACAGGCACTGCCATGAGTTCTGACCATGTCACTGTTTGGGCAGCCTCTCTGCCATTTAACCTCAGTGCCCAAGCTGTCCAACTGATTGCACTTACACAAGTTTGCCATCTAGCTTCCAGGCAAAGTGCAACCATCTGTACTGTTTCCTGTCATACCTTTGACATTTATCAAGTCATCAGAATGTTATAGTTGCAAAGGGTTTTTTTTTTCACTTCTGGTAAGGTCATTGTGAATGTACAATACATTGGTGAACTTCTATCCACTTCATGGCTTCTTAGTGCTGTGGCTACTGTCCATTGTCCTGCCTACACTAATGGTACCAACTGTGTTTCAAGAGGTAAAAATTGTGCCAATACTGCTGTAAAACTTGCTGCCCTTGAAGACCCCACATATGTTTCATCTTTCTGTTTCTGATAATGTTGACTTTTCTCTATTTTACAATGATTCTAAAATTGCAAAGGGAAAACTGAATTTTCATGCCAAGTGGGCATCTGTGATCTGGGTGACTACAGAAGGCAAAGCATTCCTCCTTTAGCTTTTCTATCACCAGAAAGGGGTGCAAGGTATTCATGGAAGACCAGTATCTCTGATATGAGGGCTGCTTTCCACCTTTGGTGGCCACCTGATCCACTGAACTCTCACCTGTGGCTCCAAGTAGCTGTGGCATAAGTAGGGGCCACATCCCAGTGAACTGTTTTGGCAGACAGGCTAAACCAGATTGAGGGTAACTGAGGGATCTCAAACCAACAGTGAGTCAAAGGGTTGTTTACCCTGAGCATGTGAAGATGTCCCACTTTGGAATGGGCAGATGAGGACAATTGCTCCAATGGTCATGAAGGCAGCTGAAGCAGGCCCTGCTGGAGCTCTAGAGCTTAGTTAGACACCAAAGACACCAAGACTGCATCCTGCGTCATCACCGGTCATCTTGGCTCTGTCATGCCACTGGACTGTGATGACTCTGGAAGAGAGAGTGAGGCTGACGACTTTAAGCAACTCTGCCTCACTTAAATCCAACTTACACTAGAGTCAAAAGACAGCATCCATACCATTTTACCATTTTTACCTACCTCAAAGGCCTGTGGTAATAGGCAAGTGATGAAACAGCAGGTGTGGATATACTGGAAATTATAGTCACAACCCTGCACACAGGAGGCCCAAGCCATAGTGTAGGCTTCTCACTGGACTGAAGCAGCAGTGGGATTCAGCAGTGCCCTGAGTGTCTGAGAAGCCTTTTTTTTTTTACTATACAATGGGGTTAAGTGACATACTCAGGATCACACAGCTAGTAAGTGTCAAGTGTCTGAGGCCAGATTTGAACTCAGGTCCTCCTGACTCTAGGGCTATTGCTCTATCCACTGCACCACCTAGCTACTCCTAAGCAGCCTTTTTAAAGGACCACCCTGTTAATCTCTTGGTGTGAAGAAGGGGCTAGAAAAAGTTTCCTAAAAATAATCTGCTTCACCCAATCCTGGCATGCTTGTCATGACGGGTGGGGTCTCAAACCCTTTGGTGAATTAGCAGATGGGTATCTACCCTGAGCATACAAAAACTTCCCCCAGTGGGATGGGCAGATAAGAATAATTTGTTCCAATGGCCATAAAGGTGGCTGAAGCAGGTCTTGTGGAATGCTTAAAGCGTGGTGAGACATCAAAGATACCAAGATCTGCTTTACCCAATCCTGTCCTGTCTACCCCAGTAGGCAGGCATCCTACATTGTGGTCAAAACACAAAAAAGTACAAATACTTGTACAAAGGTGATTCCACTCACCATTGATACATGGAATGTGCACACACATTATGGACAATGAGAAATCCAATAGACTAGAAAGATGAACAGCTCTTATTGCAAAAGAACATAATAGGTATGGCATCCAAATAGCAGCCTTGAGTAAAACAAAGCTGCGAAATGAAGGCCAGTTTCCCAAAATCAGAGATGGACACATGCTTTTCTGCAGCAGACATAGTGAACAGGAATGCCATTAACATGGGTTTTACAATCAAAACTAATCTAGCCAACAAGTGTGTGTGCCTCCCAAAAGGAGTGAATGACAGGTTCATGACAATGTGATTGCCACTTGCAGGAAGGCACCAAGCCACCATCATCAGTGCATATGCTCCCATCATGAAGAGCCATGATGAAGCCAAAGAAAAATTTTACAAAGACCTGGAGACACTCATCATCAATGTGCCAAAAGAGGACAAGCTTATGATTCTAGGTGACTTTAATGCTTGAGTAGGCACAGATACAGCAGGGAGTGCTTGAGAAATGGAGTCAGAAAGAGTAACAGTCGCTTGCTACTAAAGACTTGTGCATCTCATGAGCTTCTCCTCACCAACACTGTCTTCCATTTACCTAAGCACAATAAAAGTTCATTGATGCACCCTTGCAGCAAACATTGGCATTTCTTATACTATGTTATCATAAGGAGAAGAGAGAGATAGGATGTGAGAGTGCTAAAGGCAATATGTGGCACAGAGTGCTGGACCAATTATAGACTTATCCTCTCCAAACAACATTTGCATTTAACAAAAGCAGTGGCCCCAAGGGAGGATAACTACCAGAAGACTTATTGTCAACAGATTAGAGCACTTCTCCATGACTGAACAGATAGTTGCTAACTTAGAGGGAAAATTGAGCCAATACGTAGTTGACAACAGTGGAGCAGAAAACGCGTGGGCAACTTTCAGAGATTTGTTGTACAGCACCACATTTATTCATCTGGGCCAGAACACTCAAAAACATCAAGACTGGTTTGACAAAAAAAATGGTGGGGAAATTCAGAAGTTGCTGACTGAAAAATGAGAACTCCATAGAGTTTACCAGGAGGATAGTTCATCCATCTCTAAGACACATTATCAACATGCATTCTGTGCTGTTGCTTTCAGTGGCTACCCTCTAGCTTATATTCATTTTCAGCATTCACAAATTGATTTCATAAGCATGCTTAAATCTGGCCACTGTAGATTCTGCCTCATTGTTACTAATCAGCTTATTGAGTTGAGAGTTTCCTAGTTCTAAGGCCACAAGAAGGTTCATGGTTAAAATTATTCTCAAAGAAATGTACCGATTTTGGCCCTCTTGCTCACACTGAGTCAACAGGTGGTCTCATTTCACTGATATGATCCTCTTCCAGATTTATAATTGTCTCAGGGAGATTCCTGGGTTTCATTACCCTTGTCACCCCTAGAGTTCTAATGAGGTTAAATATGTGAACAAAGAAATCAAGACCATGACTGACAAACTGTATACCAAAACACACCTTGAATGGCCTGATGTGCTCCCTCTAGAATTGTTCTGCCTCTAGCTGACCAAGGAAGGAATTATACCTCTCTCCTTTTGAAATGCTTTTTGGCCATCCTCTTATAAAAGTAAGCCCTTTCTCTCCAATATATACATCATTATTGGGAGGAAATGCTTTTGTTGCTTCTTATATACAAAAACTACAAAACAGACTGAAGGAACTTTATGATGGGGGCATGGCAGTACAGACTGGGTCCTTGGCTTTTTTTTTATTCTGATTTTAACAAACAGCAAAAGAGAACATTTTAATATATAAAGTAGTACAGAAAAGAGGGGATTACATGATAAATTCAACATGTTCTTTTCTTTTCTTTTCTTTTCTTTTGAGGCATTCGGGGTTAAATGACTTGCCCAGGGTTTTCATCTAAGAAACTTTAAAATTGAAAAATAAAAAAGAGAAGAAAAATGGCAAATAGAAAACTGAAACCCAGTATAAGTAGGCAGAGAATAAGAGAATGGCTCATTGTCTTTGATAAGTTAAAGTTCTTGGCCCATTATACTATGTCACATTTCTTGTGTAGTCTTTTTTCAGTCATATCTAACTATTCATGACCCCATTTGGAGTTTTCTTGACAAAGACACTGGAGCTGTTTGT